CAGGTACAGTAAAACAACTTTTGCAGCGCTTTTTGCGCGGTTATCTTGTTTTTCTATCGAATCTTTTTACAAGAATACATAATCGCTGCATTGTCTGCAAACTGAGCGAGTTGTTCGTGTTTCATATCGAATCCTTTAGTGTATGATCGGCCATCAAGCAAACCTTGAAACATGCTACAGTGCAATTTGGAGAAGAGAGCTGAGAAGTTCTATTAGAGTACCTACTGTGTAAGTATACATTTGCTTTCCAACCGAAGTTCACGTTAAAACTACAATAAGTATAGCTCCTATCTGTATACATTTTGAAATGAGAATTGGATTTGCTCCTCACATGGGCATATTGTGTTTTGCATTTTGATCTGCATATGATGAGCGCGAGTGCGACGGTCTTTGCATCAATAAAACGGTTTATCACATGTAGACTGCAGGAAAACCAAATTTATGAAACAGGCTAGAATACGCTTACAGTGCACGCCGTTTTCTGCCACTGATTTCACTTAACGTTTTTGGCGGGCGAATTAACCAACCACTGAAACAAACGATCACTCACATTGCTGATTGGGGGCCGTGGGGGGTCAACTTAGTTCCTTGAACGAATTGAAATGTAGAATGCACGAGGGGAGCGAGGGGAGAAGACAGCCACTTAAGTGTGTTTTTGTGTATTATGTTGTCCACCATTTTTGCCTGTACTTTAAGGAAAGCAAATTTTTGTGAACACTGCAACTGTTGACTGAGTTCCTTACATTACATATGTTGATATTTTCCTCTGGAAGGTCAAACATTAAAGCAAGCTCAAGCACAGTGGAGAAAATGCAAATATCAACTGTCAATCATGGCATTTTTCGAGCAGAATGAAGATGTCTGACCAAGGTAAGACTGATTTCAAAATAGGCGGCCAAAAACTGCTTCTCCAGTTTAAACGAAGTACGGGATCGTTACTTGTACTCACTCAACCATCACGGGATTGCGGGACTACAACTTTAACCCGAATAAACCACGCTCCATTCATGTGCCGACCTTTATTTAAAATTAAACTTACAACATCAGGACGTCGAAATATGGAGTACTTAGATCGAATCAAATTATCAATATTAATTAAATGAAGAGGTAAAATTGAAAATTATGGATTCAGAGCATAGGGTTATAGCCTACGGACTTGTCACTCGGGATTAGACTGTCTGTCGATGCGACAGACCGACTGTTGAATCAATTAGGCCCGTTTCAAACGTCGTGCTACTGCTGTGCCGAACTAAATTGATAGAATTAAATTCGACTTTAGCACGGCAGTAGCGCGACGTTTGAAACCAAGTCGTGCTGCTGCCGTGTAGCACGGCAAGCCTTGCACGGCATTAGCTGGACTTGGTTTCAAACGTCGTGCTACTGCCGCGCCGAACTCAATTCATAAATTATAAATACAGAATATATTTAAAAGTTTGCTAAACCGTTTCTTTATTTTTGTGTTTTGTTTTCGGCAACAGCCGTTCTATTCGACTGAATTAAATTCGACGTCTGAGACCAAGTCGTGCTAGTTTGTGCTGCAGTGGAGCTACAGTCGAGCCAGCTTAGCACGGCAGTAGCACGACGTTTGAAACAGGCCTTACATTGAATGATAGTGATAGCTTTTGCTGTCCACCTTAACGTTGCGTGCCTTGACCGGAAGTACCGAGTGAGGAAACCTGATTCGAATGTGCTATTCTACCGTAACAAATTCAGCAGTGGAGCGGCGTTTACACCCCTGGCCATGGTCCGAAATAATGATCCACGATCCTTTTTTTAACTAAACTAAAAACTTTCTACGGGCAGAACCGAGAACTACTCAAGTTCGCGTGAAAAGAACACAGAGGGTGCCTGGAGAATTCGTTCAGCCTAGCTGATATCATTGTATCTTGCTAATCAGTGAGTCCAAAAGACCATTTTTGATTTATTAAAATGTATACTTTGCTCTAGCCTGAATTTCATCCGATTACTTGGAGTTGTTTTCTCCTCTCAGCAACGTCTGTAACGACCAGCCGTTAATGCCGTCCAGTGACGTCACTACTACCTGAAAACCGGGTAGTGACTTTGATTGGTTGATTGCCTAAATATTTGCATAATTTGTATAATTATGAGAAATTTTAGCGGGATTGTCGATTGATATTCAGCGGATCGCATCAGTGGCGCGGCGTTGCTTAAACGAGGGTAAGGGTAACACCCATTGCTGAGCCTCAAGATGATTTCTCTTGTTTTATTCCCCAAGCCCTCGCAACCAAGTATGAATTTAACTGTCTGTTGATCACTAAAAGTATTTGAAGTAGAGTTATTACACAAATAGGTTTCGAGGCTACTCAATTGCACCATCCATAGTCAAATAAAAATCTTAATAATTGCGTTGGTTAATGTTTAAAGACGATAGAAAAATGTAAAGTGTTTAATAAGATACGAGAAACAATAAAGCGGGGGTGTTCATGTTCGAGGCAGCCAGCTGTTTACCACAGTTATTAATAACTGTTACCACGATCGTAATCGTTTGCAGGTGATCCCATTCAAGATGAGACAAGCCCGGTTGTGGTCCATTTTTCCATTTCCGAAGATAAAGTTTGCAACACTCCGCCGGGAGGAGACTGTAACGGAGTATATTATTGGAGAGCTCCAGATTTCATGGATGGCTCCCTTTTCGTCGACCTTTTGACGGAAATTGTCGATGCAATCTCAGATAGGGATTCACAAAGGTTTCTTCAACTCATTGAGCCTTCGCAAACGTCATGGGCTGAGTTGCGACGGTGGAACCGGAAGCGTAAACAGTGGTTTAGCGTCAGTGACGACGACGTTTCATTGAGAGTGCGGGAAGCGTGCCTAACCTTTAGTACCAATGGGGACTTCATTTCCCTTTTCCCACCTGAAGGGGATTTTGGTATCTTAAGTGCTGACGTCCTTATTAACAACGACTCGGACCCCTCTGGGGAGATTCGGAAATGCATTAGTCAGAATATTGCTTCCGACATTGCTGCCGATATTGCGTTGTGTGGTGAGGAGTTTGAGAGCGCCGAGGAAACCGAGGAGAGCCAAGATGTCTGTGTGGACGATACATATCCGTCAGATGAAGAAGAGATTGACGAAGTGCAAGAGGCAAATCCTGAGAAGCCATGCTATTATCCATCACAGATAGAAATGGCAACGATTCTGAAGAAACGAATTGACACAATTATGAGACATTACCACAACATCGCTAAGCTCAGCGACGCCTTCGACGACGTAGAGTTTGCAGTGTACACAGCAAGGTACCGGATGCTTAGCGATCAGACCGAGAAAAGGATCTGTCACCCTGACGCTGGTGTCCTATCGAAACAAGAACTCAAGTCACGGAAAGAGTGGAATGGAAAGAAGAGAATGTTCATGTATGTTCGAAGCGCGGAAACTGACATGCATTTTGAGCAGCTAAGAAAAGACGTCCAAGAAAAGCCAAGAACTCTTTTTATTATTATTGCTGATGAGTGCCATTGGGGAATAACAAAAGACAAAGACCAGAAACCATCGGCACATAATCTGTTCATCAATGAATGGTGTAAGGAAAACTCTCCCAGAAATGTGGTCGTAGTTCAAATCTCAGCAACACCTTTTAACCTTTTAACGCAGAACTCCCGCCTACCTGAAGTACGTTGCCTAATTCTCTACGAGAGTATTTCTACCGTGCGAAACAATCATTACAAAGCTGGCGATCTCTTGGTTTTAGAAAGTGAACCTGAGATTGAAAAACATGACTTTGCAAAACCAACTTCCAAGGAAGTAGAACTTCATGTTGTCCACTGGTCGGAGGTAGAGTTGAAGAACTTTGAAAGGGGAATGCGAATGAAACTCAAGTCAACATTAACTGTTGAACGTTCTCCACACCCGCGATACCTTCATGTTTCCACGGAGGGGAAACTGGGCGTCGTATACAATGAAAGTGATGCCACTGACTTTCTTGTACAAGGGAGTCAAGGTATCGTGACAATCAAGGCCATTTTAAACGAAGGGAAGGTCCGTACACTGACCGGAGACTCGCACGGAATGCTGGAAACCATTGTTAACCCTCAGGAGTCAGCTATGTTTGAGGTAAAGTTGGACTTTGGCGTTGGAGTTGCGGCGTTTTCTTGCAGTGACAGGAGAGATCTCTATTTAGCAGTCGACGACAAAGATAACGTTTTGCTGCAATCAGCTAGAATTGAAAGAAAATGTGGTGTGTCTATTATGAAAGCCAAACACGACTTGGGTCGCGTTTCATTCGAATTTTACATTGATCAATGTGGACCAGCAGAAGTTGACTTGGTTGAACAACAGTACATGAGTTTAAACTACTATCTGAGCACCATGACCTGTGGTAAAAGGAGTGATCAAAAGATTCGTCAGGACAAGTTTTTTCAAGGGATCGTGGACACGGCAAAAAGACAAAACAAGCGGTGCACACCCCAGTCATCATCCCTCAAAATAGACGCCCTTCTATGCGCGGAGTACTGCTACTACCTTCTTCTAGTTGGCACATACAACAGCGATGACAAAATCCGACAGGCACTTATCCATAGCACAGGAGAATCTCCCGCTGATCAGTTTACTGAAAAGGTTCGTTCTTTCAGAGAAGAACTCGTGAACAACGCAAAGTACATTGACCACGAAGCCTTTGAGTTGGTTGTGAGAGAATGTTGCGGCGAGGTGAAAGAAACTTTGATAGAAAATGTGAAAAAATTCTCAAGGTCCCAAAAACAAAACAGATCAACTGGTAAAGTGGACTCTAATCAAAATTTAGAAACAGAATTTGTTGCCTGTCTGATGCACTTGTCTCGGGAAGATCTAAGAACTATCATGGAAGATCCCCTCATGAATGGTATTCTAAAAGAGATCAAAACGTCACTAAAGCAAAACAACTGCCACAAGATGATTGAAATCTGGAGGGGTGTTGTCCGGCAGTACGAAACAGGATTTCTTGTAGAAAGCCTAATCCAGAGTGGCAAAGGGGAATCCGGTAAGATGAAAATTGTACGAGCAAAAAGCATGGAAACAGCCGATCAGTTTTACCACACCCTTAAATTGGCCCGGAAACTATCTTCCTTGGAGAAGTCATTTGAGATCATAAGAGATTATGGCGGAATCCAAATCGAGAAACAGATGATGAAATCATCAAGTCCTTTCTTCCTTAAGCTCCAGCCAAGGGAATGCCAGTTTAAATTTGACTGCCGTTGCAGTGAGCTTGAGCTACGCCCCGGCCGCAAGAAGTGTACCAATTGTCAACACGTGCACAAGTCAATCACTCAGTATGAAGACTTAGAAAACTTGGCGTGTGTCCTCATCCTGGTTGATAAAGGTCGCATGGGGGACACATTTCCCCAAAGCTTTGATTGCCTTGACCTTCGACTAAACTATGACAGTAGTCGGGAATTCAAAGAGGGCTCACCACTTTTTTTGTCGACTGTCATTCAAGAACTTGGAAGAATGTGCCGTTATGCAAAGGCATCAACCCGAGAATCACGTGATCAGTACACTCCTTATGTGTTGGTTGGAAGGGAGCTTTTCAAAAGGCTTGGTGAATCACTGAAACGTTCCCCAGCTATGAGCACAATTTCTTGTACCAGAGCTGATCGGTACATGTCAACCTCCAAAAGCAAACGCGAGCCATCATCTTCACTGCGTTGGTTGGACTATGAAGCTCATAAGGATAGCTATGATTACGGAAACAAGCAAACACATTGCAACAGAATACTTCTCCAAGCTGAACCCCAGATCGGCAAGACAGGTACCTATCTTTGCCTCATTAAGCAGCTTAGACAAGACATTCTTGGAAAAGAAAAGATGCCTCTGACACAAACTACCGCATTTGATGAAGGCAGCTTTTATCTCCATGAACAATGCGACTCCCTTGACGAGACAATAGAAAGGAGCGTGGAAAGCGATGATGACTGGCAATTTCCCTATTGGAAGACGATCGAGAACTCTCCCAGCCTTTATGAAAAAGCGGTGGGACAGGGGAAGTATTCAATTGGTGGGCTCTTCTACACTCACGACATCGAAGATAGTCCCTTCTTCCTAATGAAACGAGAAAAGAAGAAGCCAATTAAGTCAATTCTCAATTATCAGAGATTGCTATCAAGAAATTGTGCAGATGGTGTTCGCGCATGGCATTGGTACCATTTTGAGAACTGTGTTGAATGCGGAAGACTACTTCAAGGAGAGCGGCCAGTTTTGGAGACGACTGAAGTAACCATAGATGGCGCTCCGGTAGAGGTCACTTGTTCAATTCCAACCAGCAGTCTAGCATACAACTACCTGCGAGGTCATCTCAGGAGTTTTAGGTCAGTGGAAGGGTCCTGGACCGAGTTCAACTGCCCTGGAGTGACCTCGCTGTCTTATTGGATATTCCATCCCTCTCACAGAGATGATCCGCGAAAGTGTCTTCTAAACTATCATCACGTGATGCAAGAAGAAAACCAAGTAGCTCGTTATCTGCAAGTTGCTGTGGTTCGAAGTGAAATGTTCCAGGCCTACAAATCTACCTGGGGGAAGGTGATTGCAATATTTCAGCTGCCAGATGAACTACCGAACTGCGAACTTGGACCTAGTGAAGGAGGTGTGGGTTACGCGAGGTTGTTTATTCAGAAAATTGCATTTGCTCTAAAGCTGGAATACATTTTTGTGATTGATGACAATGTGGCCTTGATGTCCGAAGCAGTGTTCAAGTCAGACGAAGGAACAACAACAGGTCAGAGCGTTGTCAGAGATGAGAATGGAGTGATGAAGATGGAAAGATGTTCTTTCTTAAAACCTCTCACTTACCTTCAGAAGATTGCAAGCGGAAAGGGCAATCCACCCGATGAAAGAATACAGTACGAGCCACATCCTTTAAAGGATCATCCCGAGGGCCAACAGTTTCCCCTGTATACGTATACAGGCCCCGCTAAGTTGTTTGGTGACAGCCCTTTCAAGAGTTATGGCATTCTAGGTCTTCTCAGAAGTGTCCCCATATCAGTCAGGCCATTTGCGAAGACCCAGGTTTATGCTGCTGTTTTGTTGAATGTCAAAAGCACGGTGGAAAAGAAAGTGTTTTATCGACCATGGCCGTGTTGGGAAGACTTGCGCTTCAACGACGATTGCGACAAAGCTGATTTATGGGTAGTGAAATGCAATCGCTTTCTTTTTCACAAAGTCCAATACAACGACTGGATCAAGGATCTCGCACGTCCGACTATTTTTGTATGGAAAAAAGATAGCTTTCTGGAAAAACGACCACTTGCTAGTGAGCTGCCAAAGGTTGTTGAGGAGGAAATCATCTTGGACCACCTCCGCAGCTTTGTCAACACTAAGGGCCATGAGAATTGCTTCAAAGGACAGATTGGATATGATCGGCCGGACGATTGTGAGGACCAACTCTCCCCCACAAAAATTATTGACAGTCTTGACCTTCAGAACTACGAATGGAAGGAGCTCGGTTCCACTGATGAAGTTCCAGTCCTTATTGTGTCGTACTGTGCTTCAGTTGCTAATCGGAAGACCAGAGACATGATGCTTTTGATTTCAGCGTTTTGTGCAGCCCAAGAAAAGATTATTTTCATCACGAGTGCTGAAGATGCATTAGAAAGGTGGCACGGGTTGACTCTCGCGACCATAGCGTCGCACAATGGAATTTGCCTCACTTCCGAAATGAGCGACAGATGTGGTCGGTTTTCCATTTTGTCTGCCGCTGACCCTAGAAGACATCATTTACGGTGGATTGTGATCGAAGCATCCTTCTCGAAAGAAGATGGCATGATTCTGGAAGAATTAAATGTAGCTGTTGAAAAAAACGTCTCTGAAAATGCCACAAAAGCGGACGAAAGTATCCTTGCTGATCATCAGCAACACTTCAGTGGAGAAAGAACAAAAGCGTCTGAAGAGGGATCTCTCAGCACAAAGAGTAAAGTAATTGTGGATGTAGGAACGTCCCACCAACCACTGTTAAGAAGAGATTCAGGTACCACAGAATCCCTTAGTGCAAACCGTTCTGCTCATGAAATCTCATGCCTTAAAAGGCCTTTTCATGAAACTCTAGAGCCATTTGGTCAGGAATGTTCAAGTGTCAAGAAATCCCATGAAGAAGTCACCTGTCAAAAATCATCTTTTCTCCCCTCACACACTTTTCGTCATGATTCACCTAATGCAAAGCAAAAAATTGTTGAAGAGTCTCCAAGCAAGCGACGAAAAATTGTTGATTACTTTTGCCAGAAAATTAACCAAACGCGCGACGAACAGAGTGTCAAAAAAACGTTTGAAAAGGGAGGGACAGCCGGAGAGTCATCCAATAGCAGGAAAGTGGAAAGAAAGAGATTAAGTGTCGACGACAGAGGAGAGAGTAACAGCAATAGGAATGAACACAGTGAAGCCATTTCGGAAACAGAACAATCAAAAGTAAAACTAAAGAAAAAGAAAAAGCAACTCAAGACTGAAAGTAATCAGAAAAGTAGAAACCCTATTCATACTGGCCACGAGAGCATGCTGAGGAGCGAAGAAGACAAGCACATGGCATTCACATCTTCTCAACATGATGTACGTGACGTATATGTTGTGAACGAGAACGGCGGAGAGACGTCGAGTGGCAAGAAAGTGAAAAAAAAGAAAAGTGGGAGCAAAAGCAGTGAAGAGCGTAACAGAAAGGGAAGTAAAAATGATGAAGCCACTTCGGCAAACGAACAGCCACAAGTGAGAAAGAAAAAGAAAAAGGAATTCAAAAGTGAAAGTAGCCAGAAAATTAGGAGCCCCACTCATGCTTGTCAAGGTCAAGAGATAATGTCAAAGAACAAAGAGGACAAGCAGAAGGCATCTACATCTTCGCTACATGAAGAAACTGATGAAGATGTAGAAACCACATCTAATGCTAGCAGCCACACAAGCACGTATTCCATACAAGGGGAGGACACAGAATGGCCGAATGTACCAGATACGTACAGTGCTGCTGATGTCGCAAGTAACAGCGATTTTAATACAAGTTCCCTACGTAGAACTTCCACTTCAAGAAATCAAAACGCCGAAAAAATGTCATTGTACATGGCGGGAACTAACGACGTCACAGAAGTTATTGTTAACCTTTGGAATCAACGCAAACAGATGGGAAAACGAGAGGATCTTTCAAAAGGACACGTTCAAAAAAGTCTCGATTGCTTTGTAAAAGGGAATTTGGAGACAAAAGACCAACATGGCTACAATGCACTTTTAAAGGCGTGTTCCTTGCCTTCTATGAGTCCTCATGTAATGCAGCACCTGATAGTCGTTGAAAAAGTGGACTTAAACTGTAGGCTTCCAGATGACTTTGACGAGCACCACCCCTCAGCCAAAGGGTTAATTCCAGGAATGTCCGCTCTGTCAGTGGCAATAAGGAGACAAAATATAAGCTGCATATCAACCTTCAAAAGACGAGAATCAGAAATCAAAGTACGAGACGCTGACCAGGAGGGGAACACAGCCTTGCATCACTGTGTTGCATCGGCATCGAAAGGAGCATTCCAGAAGCTGTTTCCCCTTTATAAACAATTAGACTGGAAAGAAATGTTTAACCGCGAACGGAAAAGTCCTCTGCACATCGCACAGAAGTTGGCAATAGACAGTGCTGGAAAAAAGAAGCAAGCACTAGGATACATTCTTGAGGAAATGGAGGGAAGGAGCCGTTCATATGTAATCAGGTATGTAGTAATTGAGTGTAGCAAAAGATAACTGAAGTTATTTTTTCGATCATTATGTTAGAGTTTTGCTTGCTTCTTTGTTAAAGAGGTTATAACCAAAGAATACCGTAAATCCTCTATTTCGCCCCTCCCCAACCCCCCCCCCCCCCCCCCCCCCCCCCCACCCCCCCCCCCCCCACCCCCACCCCCACCCACCCCAACGGAGGGGGGGGAATATAATACAAGAAAAAAAAATATATAAAAATTATAAAAAAAAAAGAAAGAAGCGGTTGGAAGAAAACACGCGACGTGAAAGGAGAACGGGGTGAGACCACACACAAACAAAAACAAAACTCCTCAGCACA